ACGACATTTTCGATCGCGTGACTGTCTTGATTGCGATTATATGCACTTGCATCGGCGTTTTTGTAAAGCGGTCCGTCGCCGTCTTTGTGAAACGGCGGCGAAAATTCGTCCCAATATTTCCGCAAACTTTCGTCGCGCGAATATTCCATCGCCCACATCGGCAATCGCGCCGATTTGTTGATATAAAGCATCTCGCCGCCGTATTCCGCCGTCTTTGAGTCGAGCATTTCCCGCGAACCTGCGGCGCGTCCGCCGAATTTATCGTATTTATCACGAATCGCTTTCATTTCCGCCATGTGTGACTCCGAAATTGATTCGTTGCCCGATTCGTAAAAAATTACCGACGGGTTATTTCGATTGTAAACGACGGCATCGCGCATCACTTCCTTTCGTTGTTCCCAACGTCTGCCGTCAACGTCTTTTTCCGCGTCGCCTGCGGGCATAACTTGTAGTAAACCGACTCGATCGCAAGATTCGACGTCCTGTTTCGACGGCGTTGTGTGCATCCAACGAACGAGATTTGCGTTAGATTCGACCATCAAACCATTTGAAAAATCGCTTAACCATGCGGGAACAGTGTTTCCGAGCGCAACCCATTCATTCGTCGTGCGTTGCGCGTAACCTTTCAACTGCAAAGTTCGATCATTTAATTTGAAAAGTCCGTTTGCAAATTCGGTTTTGCGAAAACCCGTCCGCGTTTTGACCGTATCAACTTCTTTACCGTCAACTTTTAGCGTCGTATAAACATCGTAAAGTTGACCATAACCCCAACTCCAAAATTCGAGATTTTTAAGGCGTTTTTGTGCTATTGCGACGACGGTTTGATCGGGAGAAACCGTGCGTTTCTCAATAATGACATCGCCTTCGGCATCGAGATCGGTAAATTCGGCGATTTTTTTGCCCCTTAAATCTCGTATTTCAACTTCCAATGAAAAGGTTTTGTCAGAATCGGATTCGTTTTTTATTTCGGATTCGACGTGAACTATCGCCGTTTTTTTCTTAATATCGAAATCGGTCGCGTAAACGTAAACGCCTGTCGTTCCAAGATTTGTGTAAATCGGCAAGGTTTGATAAAGCTTGTCCGTGATGTGCAGATAGACATTTTTATTGATGCCGCCGTAATTGGCATTGAAATTTTTGTCAGACCATTGAAATTTCGTGTTTGTCGCCTTTTCCTTGTATTCCCAATCGTTGTCAATGCGAACCGCAATGACGTTTTCGCCCGTTTTCAAGCCGTTTGAAATGTCGAAGCCGAACGCCGTAATTCCGTTTTCGTGGCGACCGATAAATTTGCCGTTCAAGTAAAATTCACCTGCCTGCCGAATGCCTTCAAATTCGAGGAAAACTTTTTTATTTGAACTATTTGCGGGAAGCGTGAAATGCTTGCGATACCAAGCTATTCCGGTCGAAAGTTCGGCAATATCTTTGCGAAAAGCCTCATCTTCATTCCACGCGTTCGGGGTTGTCACGGTTTTCCAATTTGAATCGTCAAATTCGGGCTTGTCTGCACCCTTTGCGTCGCCGA